CAGATATTTGTTCTAGCCCCTGCTTTCACTTCTCTTAGGTTTATACCCAGAAGTGGAAACACTGGATTAGACGGTAGCTCTACATTTAATATTTTAGGAACCACCATACATACCATTTTCCGCAGCTGCACATTTTATATGCCTATAAGCAATGCACAAGAGGTTCTAATTTCTTTGTATCATTGCCAACACTTGTTATCTTCTGAGGTTTTTTTTGGGGGGGGGGTGGGAGGGACAGAGATTGTTTTTCTTGGCTTTTGATAATAGCCAACTAATGACTGTGAAGTGTATTCCAATGTTCAGAGGGCCCCCAACACTTGAGTCTTCCCTCGAATCAGGTCAGGACGTCAGGTGCACCGTGGTATATGTCCATTTACTCAATTTTCTGTTTTTTTGTTTCCTCATTTATAAAATGGGGATAATAATAAGCCTGCCTCTAGAACTGTTTTGAAGATTTGATGCAGTAATATATGTGAGATCCTTAACCCCGTGCCTACGCTGAGGAGGTAGCAGAACTTTTACTACTTTATATTTGTATCTCTCTCCGGTGCTGTACTTGAGCTGCTCACTCCTATTTTTATCCATAAAACCTAGCTCGGGGCCTGACACACAGGCAGGGTTTAATAAATGTCTGAGGACTGAACTTAAAGTAGTCTGTAGAACGTAGGTTACAATGCTTTTAGCCAGGGTGAACGTAGGAGTCCCGAAGTTCTTTAATGCAGAACTGAAGTGCGTATCAGAATTCTGCTGCTTTTAACTCACTGTGTGCAATTCAGGGCTTATCAACATGGTAAACTCTTCATGGTTTTCTTTCTCTAATGCTCACTCATGCCCAGCAAGTGATTTTCTTTTTCTCATAAAGTTATAAGTCAAAGAACCTCTCTGGGTATTACTTTAGACAAATATTTGTACTGGGTGGACTCTTATTGCTGAAAAGACTTTGGTGCCCCAAGGGCAGATGAAATAAGTGACATATGTTTTAGAGAACTGCCCCCGCTGGGCGTCCCTGGTGGCTTAGAGGGTAAAGCGTCCGCCTGCAATGCGGGAGACCCGGGTTCAATCCCTGAGTCGGGAAGATCCCCTGAAGAAGGAAATGGCAGCCCACTCCAGTACTCTTGCCTGGAGAATCCCATGGATGGAGGAGCCTGGGAGGCTGTAATCCATGGGGTCGCGAACAGTCGGACACGACTGAGCGGCTTCACTTTCACTTCAGCTGTGCTGGTTTCTGCTTGCCTGCACTCTATGCAACACTAAAGCCTGTGTAAGATTTGGGGATCCCAAACCTAGGTGGGCCTTAGAGTTCATAAAAACCCTAAATCTGTATCTGAAATTGGGTGGAGTGTGTGAGAGAGAGAATATGGGCAGTTTTGAGAAACATAGATCCGGCTTTTATCAGAATCTGAAAGGAGTTTATGGCTGAAAAAGGATTAAGAATGACAAATCTAGAAGGTCTCAGGCATCTGACTCATTATCAAGCCAGAGTCTGAAGTTTAGGAAAAGAAATAGAGCTGTTTATACAAATTGTGATATAAGTTCAGGTCTTAGCTAGGAATAAGGCACAGAATCACCTCCCAGCCCCATCACTGAAACAGGAGGGAGAATTCAAACCTCCTTTAAACTCGCCCCTTTAAACCTCCTTTAGAGTCCATCAATGCACAGCATTGATCCACAGCCTGTAGACTGATGCTGAAGTTGGTAGAAAAGTCAGAATCGCAGGGGGCTATACAAAGAAGCATGCAGGGACCACACAAGTAAACGTAACTTTCAATCAGTAAGGGACAAAATAACATGAATAACGGATGGGGGATGAATGCCGGATGTTGAGATCAGTCCACCACAGTGCCAGGTGCCATTCATTTCCTCCTCAGTTAGAGGCTGAGAGTGTCCTTTTTAAAAAGAACATTGTTCATTTGTTTCCTGTCAAGTACAACTTTGGCAGCATGCCACTTTGGGGTACCTGCCACAATGTGAGGGACCCTAAGAAGCTGCTCAAGTCAGAAACCCCTCCTTCTCTAACCTGTGCTAGTCCATGGAAATGTTGCTAGAAATACATCCCTTTGCTTGAGTTTAAAACCACCATACAAAACATAGATGTGACAGAAGGAAGCTAAAGAAGTTGTCAACCATTTTCTGCCACTGACACCCTGATGGGAATTCATTTCAAGATGGCTAATTAGCTCAGGTTGGACAAACTTGAATACAGGGTTAGAAGCTAGAGCTGTGTGTCCTAGGCAGTCCAGTGTCCAAAGTGGGATAGAAGTAGTACTAGGAAACCATAAGTAGTACTAGGAAACCGAAGTAGGACTAGGAAACCATAAGCTTGGAAAAAAGAGAGTTCCATTAAAGATGAAATGGATGTGAACAGGAAGTAGGAGGGGAAAGCCATTTCACAATTGTATCAACCAACTGCAGTCTTGACCTCTGATTTCCATAAAGTAAAGATCTTCCACAAAGTAAACATGTTATTTTAAAGAGTATCCGAGATGACCATGCAATTATGATGTGCAATTTAAATGGATGACGGGAGAACCTCAGAGGGAACAGCACAGAGACCAAGGTATGAGGCTGTAAGAGGAGAAGAAAAGTGACTACTTTTGCTTGGAAATGTTCCTAACTTGGTCTGCCACTGATTTGCAGGCTTCAAACTCCAGCTGCAAGGGAAGCATTTTCTGAGCCTCCCTGGAGAGAACCCATGACCTCAGAATCCTCTCCCTGAAGCTCCGTCCAGAGGCTTGGTACCGTCCCAAGAAGAAAGTTGGATTTAGTTTCTGGGAGGCAGGACCATGTTGGGAGTGTGGTAAGACTGACATCATGGTGACAAGCCTGGAACTTCTTGGCTTTGATGCATGGCTATTGGACCATCTTAGGAATAGGATACCAAACCCCCAATATTACACAATTATGTCAATCTGGAATTGTCTAGCTTGTTCCTCTTTTTCAAAAACAGTTAAATTTTAAGGAAGATGGAAGATCAATTTTGAAAAACTGTAAGGAAACCCAAAAGAGACTTCTGTGCATGTCAACTGCCTCAGTTAGAATGAAACACAATTATCAAAGGGTATTTATGTTTGTTTTATAGAAGCAAACTGGAAAAAATACTTTTTATATGCATAAAGCAATTATGTATCACAACTAAAGGCAGAAAAGATTTTCTAAATTACAAATGCACCTTACAAATAATCTGCCATTTTTTCCTCCAATCCTTTGTGTTTTTATTTATTTTCTTATATGAGTAGCTACAAAAGTCAAGAGTCCCTCCTCTCCTGTTCCCTCCAAGCATATTCCCTTCAAGGCAACAAATGTTACCAGGTTGGTATTTTTCTGCTCACTAGTCAACAAATGCACTCATACGTATACATGCAAAAAATGTGTTATATACAAAATCAGGATCATATAATCTGTTGCTCTGCAATTTACTTTATGCACTTAAAATATTGCAAACCCTGTTATCTAGAATCATTATTTCAGCCATATGCCTTTAGGTTATTTTGAAATGCCTCTTCTTATAAACTCTGATTCAATTACCATCCTTATACTTCAAATTATTTGAAGAATTCATTATTATTAATTCTTCAGTAGCATGGAGTTCTCAGCATGACATTTTGAAACTCCAGTCTATATGCATTTGTAATTAAAATGAGCACTACACGCTAATGATTGTACCACCTCAGGCTTCCCTAAGGAATAGCGTCAATGTTTTGCATTTTGCCCTCCATCCTTTCTGTTTCTCATTGCTTTGAACTTCATTTTCCAACTCAATGGTCACATAGAAAGTCTTTTCACACACCATTGTCCATTGGTGAGCAGAGTCTAAACACTCTTCTTTTGGAGGCAAGGGAAAAGGTGATCTTTCTGTCTTCTGGATGAGAAAGGGTGTGGTGGGTTTCTCCCCTCCCCAGCTGTGTAGATTAGCAAGTTCTGCATCAAGTTGCAGGTCTTCCCAGAGTTGCTAAAGTTGACCTCTAAGAGGCAGGTGGAACACTGGCAAGTCAAAGCAAATTTTCTCCAAAGATCAAGAAAGATACACTGGGCTTAACTGGTTTCACCACTCTGGGAGTTTCTGAGCTTCTCATCCTGGAACATCAAGCCTGTTTCCAGCCAGGAGCCACTGCCTTCCCCAGTTCTAGAAACACTTATGCTCCACACCTGACGTGTGTTCTTAAGACTTATATTTTGGAAACCCTTAGGCCTTGCTTATTCAACTGGTTGAATCTTGCCAGCAAGGCATTGACAAGAAGAGAGGGTCATGGATTTGCGATCAGATTATCATTTTCCCCAATTTCTTATGTCTTCTTCGTCTGTGTGCTCAGAGATTATGGCCATGGTTGTTCTCCATGAACTTAAAAACAAGTTCATAAGTCCAGGCTGTGTTGTAGGTAAAGAGGACAAAATTTTTTAATACTTAATGTAGACCAACTCTTTATAAAGTGATCTAGAATAAAACTCATACAAAGTCTATTAAGCAACTTACCAATTCTTGCCAACGCTAATCTTGAAGTTACATCCCGTGGATGAACGGGTGCAGGCCTCTGTGGCATGAAGACCATATTTGGCTTCCCCAGCCCGCAATGTGAGAAATTCCTTCTACTGTAATAATATTAGGGAGGCTGTGTCCAGCCAAGCAGTGTTCACTTTCTTAACTCATAGAGGTTTATCAGGTCAGGTAAAGTTTCAGAATCATTTAATCTCACCTTTCATCATCCAGTATGGTGGAGCCTAAACTATCTTCTTCTAGATTTATGTGCCTGTGATTTTTGCATGTTGCTCCAAAATGAGGAGTAAGTTTACATCCCAGATAAAGCCATGTTTCTGGAATATAGAAGTTGTTGCTGTTTAAACTGATGCAATATAGTCTCTCGAGCAGATATTATGACTCAATTCAGAGACTGTCACCCTTTTATAGGACGAAGACGATCAAAGGAATCGTTCTACTTCCTGCGGCTCAGCTGCCCCTCTGAGGCCAGAGTCTTCCTTGAGCCCCTGCCCATGTTTCTGCCCACCTCCCCAGCACAGCTCGGGTCTCTGAGCTGCTGGGGCTTTTCGTATCCGTCTCTTGGCCATGGACAGAGGGCAGAGGGCCGCCTTCAGAGCCGAGCAGCAGATGTTGCTGCCAGTCCCGTGACCAGAAGCTGAAGACCCCCGTCCAGCCTTCTCAGGCTTCTCCCTCACCACGTGCCCCTTGGCTGGCACTGCAAGGTGGCCAGTGTTCAGGGTAATTTAATACTTTCACCTCGGTCACAGTTTATGACATATTGAACGTTGAAACATTTATTCTCCAGTTAGGTTTCGGGTTTCTAGTACTAAGATTAGAGCAAGTCTTAAGTAAAGAGACAGTATCCCTTTCCTGAAAATGGTGTGCCAGGATTCTGGCCCATTTTCCTGAGATGAGACGATTCTTAGGTTAGCATGTATTGTAGCAGTCTTCCTTGATTGAAACTGCTGTCATTTCAGCTCCAGCTACGTATTCTGGGTGCCTCACATTGCTTGTTCACAGCGTCACAAACGTCCCACGGAAATAAAGAACAGACTCAACTCACTCACTTATCCATCCCAACATTTGATAAATAATTACTGAGGATCTGTTAAGAGTAATGGAAGATTACTAATATCTTATCATCTAGTAGAAAGACAAGTATACACATGAATATAACCAAGGTTTTCATATGAAAAATGTCATAAGAAAGATATAAAACCAATTCTACAGCCACCCAGAGATCTTTTCCAACTTGGAAGAATTATAAATTTCATGAAAGACTTCATTAAGGAAACACTTATCATCTGAGATTTACATTGAATAATGGCTGGATTTTCCCAAGTGGATATATGTGTTTGAACTGGAAAGCTGGATGTCCCACGTGTAAAAGCAGCACACGGCAAAGCCTGAAGGTGAAGAGAAACACAAAATCAATGAGGAGAACATACAATCCTGTTTTACTAGAATGTAAACAATGTAAAAGGAACTAGCAAGATGTAAGACTAGAGAAACATGTTTGTAGCACGGGTTGTGATATTCACCTTTTATGAAGAGTATTGGGGAGCTGTTGAAAGTTAACAGACCAGAAATGAGCTGAATGGAACCAGGCCTCAGGGCAACGATCCTCACAGGAGGATCTGAGGTGCATTGAAGGGGACAGAGGCTCGGGCAGTGAGGCCTGGGGGGATGCAGATTCTGGCCAACAAGTGAAAGGCAATGAAAAGGGAAAGGTAGGAAGGCAGGCCAGAGGTGTTGTGGTAGAATTGACAGCGTTCACGCGTGGTGGTGGTGGTTTAGTTGCTAAGTCGTGTCCGACTCTTATGACCCCATGACCCCATGACTGTAGCTCACCAGGCTCCTCTGTCCATGGGACTCTCCAGGCAAGAATCCTGCAGTGGGTTGCCATTGACGTCTCCAGGGGATCTTCCCAACACAGGAATTGAACTCGGGTCTGCTGCATTGCAGGCAGATTCTTTACTGACTGAGCTACGAGGGAAGCTCGGCTTTCACACATGGAAGCCTAAGGAAAGAGAGCGGGTTGTGAGAAGTCCGGGCCCCCGGGCTTTGTGGCGACATTAATTGATACACTGGAGGCAGGAGAATGATCAGGAGACCACCTGGGGGCAGGAAGACCGAGTGCGGCCAGCACTCAGTCAGCGCCGATCTCACAGCAGAAAGACCGAGCAGCGGGAAGGGGTGCTGCTGAACCATGAAAAGACGCCGGGATTCTTGGCCTCCGGAAGAGAAGAATTTAATCCAGGGCCAGAGACGAGGCTTGATCACTCAGAGCTTTTGTGTAATAAAGTTTTATTAAAGTATAAAGGAGATAGAGAAAGCTTCTGGCATAGGCATCAGAAGGGGACAGAAAGAGTACCCACCTCCTAGTCTTCAGCTGGATGTTATACAGTCACTAGCAGCCTGTTAATGAAAGAAAGGAATCTCTTAAAACTCAGAATGGCACCAGGTCCCTCACCCATAAAATGTATTTTGGGATAATCTTGGCACCAGATGAGTCATCCGGGGCCATAAAACGATTGACTTGAATCTTGTAGAAAGGCAGATTACCACAGATATAGTTTCATTTACATAGATTAGGGGAACAATGTCTGAATATAACATCATGGTTTGTCAAGTCAGTTCTGAGCCATTAGGCAGAACCGACTTGAAGACAGGGTCTGGGGTAAATGCATGGTACATTAACATAGCTTAAGATAAACATCTCCGTAAGAAAAATGTGTTGGTTAACTCAAGGTTTGAGAATAGTTAACTTCAGGTGGAACCAGGTGTCATTATGGCAGCACAGTATTTAAGAGAAACCTCCGTTTAAATTTGTATGTGTGAAGTGTGAAGTCGCTCAGTCGTGTCTGACTCTTTGCGACCCCATGGACTGTAGCCTACCAGGCTCCTCCATCCATGGGATTTTCCAGGCAAGAGTACTGGGGTGGGTTGCCATTTCCTTCTCTAGGAGATCTCCCCACCCAGGGATCGAACCCGGGTCTCCCGCATTGCAGACAGATGCTTTACCATCTGAGCCACCAGGGAAGCTCTTAGATTTGTATAGAGAAGGGAGAAAAATATATCACTAGTTTGTTTCCTCCTGCCACTTAAGACAGAGATAAAAAATGTCTGATACTCGCAGCTTATTTCCTCTGTTTGGAGACTCCTGGCCTTCCTGCCTATTACCCTCCCTAGAGGAGCTCTCAGTTAGAAGAGGAACATTTTGTTAAAGGGGTTTGAGACAGACTAGAGTTACTTATTTGTATACCACGTGTCTATTTCCTGGAAGAAGGTAAGCTTCACAAGGACAGGAATATTTGTTGAATCACAATGAAGATGGTTGCGATGAGGATTCAGTAATGCATGTAAAGCTGATCTTGGGCCTTGCTTAATTAAGTGTAAGAGTGAGTTCACTTACAACCGACATGGGTAGCAGGTTTGAAATGCAGCATTGGCTATTGTCGGACATCAATTATCAACGGCACTGGCAGTTGTCAGATGTACATTTCTGAAAACTTATGAGTAAAGTTGATTATTGGATTTGGGGGGAGATAAAGAGTAACATTTTCTTAGCGATGCCTTTCAAGTATGTAAGTCTACACCTCTTAAATGATCAACAGATGGGACACTTGGCAGCATTCATCACCTGCATGAACAGAAATATTTATGGTGCTCTGTTCCAGTGCGTGGCACTCCACCAGTGGTGGAAAAGATATGGGTAAAAGTTAGTGTTTAAATTAGCTACTAAGAAATTGGAATTTCTCCCATTAGTAGGAAAAGTAACAAGGGGCTGCCTGAAGCCAAAGTGTTGAGAAATAAAAGTGTTCCCTTCACTTTTTCCTTAAACTGTGAGGAGATGAACATGCCCCCAAACACCAACCATGATGACGGAGCAAACCTGTGTGGGTTTATAACATCCCTTATAAAATAAAACTCACTTTATTTTTTTTTCCATTTATTTTTATTAGTTGGAGGCTAATTACTTTACATCATTGCAGTGGTTTTTGTCATACATTGAAATGAATTAGCCATGGATTTACATGTATTCCCCATCCCGGTCCCCCCTCCCACCTCCCTCTCCACCCGATCCCTCTGGGTCTTCCCAGTGCACCAGGCCCGAGCACTTGTCTCATGCACCCAACCTGGGCTGGTGATCTGTTTCACCCTAGATAATATACATGTTTCGATGCTGTTCCCTTGAAACATCCCACCCTCGCCTTCTCCCAGAGTCCACAAGTCTGTTCTATACATCTGAGTCTCTTTTTCTGTTTTGCATATAGGGTTATCGTTACCATCTTTCTAAATTCCATATATATGCGTTAGTATACTGTAATGGTCTTTATCTTTCTGGCTTACTTCACTCTGTATAATGGGCTCCAGTTTCATCCATCTCATTAGAACTGATTCAAATGAATTCTTTTTAATGGCTGAGTAATATTCCATGGTGTATATGTACCACAGCTTCCTCATCCATTCGTCTGCTGATGGGCATCTAGGTTGCTTCCATGTCCTGGCTATGATAAACAGTGCTGCGATGAACATTGGGGTACACGTGTCTCTGTCAGATCTGGTTTCCTCGGTGTGTATGCCCAGAAGTGGGATTGCTGGGTCATATGGCAGTTCTATTTCCAGCTTTTTAAGAAATCTCCACACTATTTTCCATAGTGGCTGCACTAATTTGCATTCCCACCAACAGTGTAAGAGGGTTCACTTTTCTCCACACCCTCTCCAGCATTTATTGCTTGTAGACTTTTGGATAGCAGCCATCCTGACTGGTGTGTAATGGTACCTCATTGTGGTTTTGATTTGCATTTCTCTGATAATGAATGATGTTGAGCATCTTTTCATGTGTTTGTTAGCCATCTGTATGTCTTCCTTGGAGAAATGTCTGTTCAGTTCTTTGGCCCATTTTTTGATTGGGTCATTTATTTTTCTGGAATTGAGCTGCAGGAGTTGCTTGTATATTTTTGAGATTAATCCTTTGTCTGTTGCTTCATTTGCTATTATTTTCTCCCAATCTGAGGGCTGTCTTTTCACCTTGCTTATAGTTTCCTTTGTTGTGCAAAAGCTTTTAAGTTTCATTAGGTCCCATTTGTTTATTTTTGCTTTTGTTTCTAATATTCTGGGATGTGGGTCATAGAGGATCCTGCTGTGATTTATGTCGGAGAGTGTTTTGCCTATGTTCTCCTCTAGGAGTTTTATAGTTTCTGGTCTTACATTTAGATCTTTAATCCATTTTGAGTTTATTTTTGTGTATGGTGTTAGAAAGTGTTCTAGTTTCATTCTTTTACAGGTGTAAAACTCACTTTAGAGTCAACCTGACTCACCTTTATGCTACTGTGCCACAGGGGAATTAAATTTATGTGAACAGTGCACATAAATGATTTTATTGGTAATCATGTTGCCAAAACACACATTTTCAGCTCTTCTTAACCACTTCCTCTTACATATCTATTATTGGCATCAGCATTGATGCTTTCTTCAGAATAATATATGATATATGTTATCTTCCTAGAAAATCCAAAAGAATCAACAGATGACTAATTAGAACTTGAAAATCCAGTAAGATCTCCAGAAGAAATAACAATATAGAAAAATCCACTCCCTTCGGTTCTATCAGCCAGTTGATTAAAAAATGCAAATCAAAACTATAATGAAGTATCACCTCACATTAGTTAGAATGGCCATCATCAAAAAGTCTACAAACAATAAATTCAG